GCAAATTCAGATCACCAGGCTGCACCAGCAGGTGTGACTCCCATGGATGATAAAGCCTCACCTACACAGAGCTTAGTCAGTGTTGATTTTGCCTTGCAGGCTTATTAGAGCTGGGTCTGCAAAGGTCATCTAGTTGAACCTCACTCTAATGATGAGAAAACCAAGGTCCAGAGAGGTTATGACTCAAAGTCATATGGGTAGTGTAGTAGCACTAGGATTTGAACTGAGATTCTGTGCCTCAAAATCCAGTGTTCTTTCTGCAGGGCTTAGCAGCAGTCTAGGCATCACAGGAAACATTCAACAAATAGGGTAAATCTAGAAAGGAAACAACTGCATTTAACCCATGTATACTGGAAAAGCAGACATCCCTTCCATCACCTGCGGACCTTGGGCAACCTTTTCATACGGCCAAGAATTCCCTCCCTTTGGTTACAAGATGGCAGAGCTGGGGGCTAGGTCCCATAGGAAAAGATACAAATCACAGACGTCTAGCTGGTCTCTTCACTAGACCAAAAGTTTCTTTGGGGTGAGTATAGTCAACCCCAAATCTAAAGCATACTCACTCCCAAATGCTAGCACCTAAGTGAAGAAGTAGGATGCCCTTTTCCTCTGGGTCTTCCCCTAGTGCCCAGTATGGGGATTTGGGTAGACTGAGTTTCCTCTCATTGTTGATGGGAAGTAAAGAAGCCATAAAGCAAGTACTTAATCCACGTTGATGGAAAGAAAAATAACTTTCAGTAGTTTTGAGTTGCTTTCTGGATCTGTGAACAGGAAGACAACACAGACTGGTCAGATGGCAAGAACAAGGGATACTGAGGTGGTTGGCTGGAGAGCACTCTTACGGTGTTGGGAGAGAGTAAGTTATGCCTCCAGCACCTTGGGGGAATTTGCATGGCGAACTTCTGGGAGGACATAGATAAGAGCTATATAGGATGGGCAGGCATAGAGGGGACACAATCTGTATATAAGGGAACAAACTGGTGCTCTTGAGTATAACCTCAGCTCAGCATTCAAGGCCCTCCATATTTTTTATGGTCACAGAATCAAGAGGTGGGAAAGAGCGAATAGGTCATCCAGCCTGACCTACATATGAACAGGAACCTCCTGGACATCCTTGAGAAGGCTTCCTGTGTTTCAGCACCCACCCTCTATGTCTTCTGGTGATGGAGACCTTAGCAAAACAGCACAAGCCACTTGTGAACAGACCCTTTGGAAAGTGTTTCTGCTATGAAGTAAAAACTTGTCTGTAACTTTGGCCCCACTGAGCTAAGTTCTGCTTTCTAGAGCCAAACAACTAATTCTAAATCACAGGGTAGCCCTTCAAATACTTGAAGACAGCTATCATGTCACACCTTATCTATAAAGAAGAGGATAACAAGTAATTAACTTACAAGGTTGTTGGGAGCTGAAATGAGATAAGCTACTATACGTAAAGCATTCCCCATCCCCAAAAGGTAGGCAGGAGAGAGGGTAATTTATGTCCGTCATCATCTCGAAGACCTCCCTCCCTTTAATGACCCTTTTGCTTTTTAGAAAAAAGTAAGTTAAACTCAGCTGTAAACTAAATCTTCCAGCTGACTAAACACTTCCTAGTTCCTTCATTGACCTTCATGGTCCCCTCACCATCCTGATCACCCTACTCCAGATGCATGCCAGCTTCTCAATATCCTTCCTAAGACATGGTGCCTTGAAGTAAACAGAACTCTAGCAGAGAATACCACCACAATCTTCTCTCGTTCTCAACGCTAAGCAATCAATGTGGTCAGCTGAAGGTGGGAGTCACTTATTTTGTTACCACATCTAACTACTAACTTATATTAAACTTATACTCCAGTAAGCCTTTTCTAAAAAAAAAAACACAACCGCTACAGCCAGCTCTGTCTACACTTAAATTTGAAGACAATGATCATGTCACTTCCTCCCCACCGCTTTAGTCTCTCCTGAGAGCTGTAATTCCACATCACCAGCTGTTTTCTTTCTGATATCAACAGCCATCTGAAAATCCAAAGTGTAGCTCTTTCCACCCAAATTCTCCCCAATTTCTAATGACTGTCTAGCTGTGCACCCCCTAGGGTTGCAGACTTTTTGTCATACTAGACTCCCCACTTGTCCTCATCCCACAAATCCAGATACCGAATCTGACCTTTCTTACATTCACAGCATTTCTTCTGTAGTCACACCTACTACACTCTTACTAAGCTGCACTTTGGAGCTTAGTCAACAGTTTGCTTACTTTGGTACTGCTGCCTGGAGTCTTTTCTCCATTAAATCCATCCTCCACTCAGCTACTCAATCCCAAAGTAATTTTCCGAAAGCACAGATCTGACTATTCCCTGCCTTCTCCCTCCTAAGCTGCAGTGGCCCCCTATTACCTCGAGGATCAAATATAAGTCTTGTCATTTAAAGCTCTTCCTACCTTTCCAGTCTTCTTACACTTGACTCCCCTCCAGCTAAAATGACTTAATAATTCTTCACACAGGACAGATAACTCATCTCCCTATTCCATGTCTTTTCACTGGCTATCCGCTTTGCTTGGAATGCTCTTTCCTAACCTGCCCCCTGGTTTCCTTCAAGACAGCTCAAATTTCACATTCTGCAAGAAGTCCACCCTACTTTTCCCAAATAGTGCTATCCTTCTGAGATTATTTTCCACTTATACCATATAAATCTTGGATGTCCATGGTTATTTGAATATTACTTCCCCATTAGATGTGAGCTACTTGGGTGGTAGCTATTTTTTTTTTCCCCGTATGGGCACTTAGTACATGGCCTAGCATGTAGTCAGCCCTCAATAAATGCTTACTGACTTGATATACCTGTATGAATCTCTTTATTAATTTTCACCTACACGTATTTATTTGCCCTGCTTGCTGGATTGGCCATCAATCCTGCCAAGGCTTTAAGGAGAGAGAGCAATCTATATCCATTTTAAGACCAAGCCCAAGCTTTAGCTCCTCCAAAAAGCATTCCTAACCCTACTCCACACCGAACAGTATCTTTAATTTTTGTTGCAGTACAACTTGCAATCTGCCAAGCTCTTTCTTTTTCTGTTCCCTCGCAGGAGCTCGGTGATGGAAAAGGTCATGCTATTGCACAGACGCCATCCAGTAGGTATTCACTACAATAATTTTAGCTGGAGTTTCACTGCTTTTCGGCCATCCTTTTATGTACTGCTTACCAACTCCCTTCTGTTCAATCAACGCATAACTGTTCCCATTCTCGAACTGCCAACCTCCACCTCCTCATCTTCACCTCCCTTTCCTACTCCTTTGCCCATTTGTTCATACTCAATTAAGTCTCCTGAGGGAAACATGTCTTTCCCTCAAGCCAAGGCTCTCCCTCCACTTTAGCACTTGGTCTCCTTTTTCTCTCAGCACCTTTGATCTCCATCTTAGAATTTCAACATCTCCTCACAAACTCTTTGCTTCTCTTCATATGATGCTCAGCTCTCATCGACTCTAAAAAACAAAAACGAAACAATTTCACTCAAGTTTACTATCCCCATGAGCTACTGTACTGTACTGTACATATCTCTTCTCCTTCCATGCACAATTGAACCCTTAGTCTCTACTTCTCTTGATTCCTCATGCTGCAAGGCTTCTATCTTTGTTACTAAACTGAAACTGGACTCTTAAAGAACTCCAATGATCTCATCCAAAACATACCAGCCTTTTCTCAATGCACGTTTTCCTTGATCTCTCCAGTATTTGACACCACTGACCAGCTCCTCTCCCTTGATGTTGCGTTCTTTAGTTTGTGATGGTACTCTTGTTTGGTACCTTGTCTCATTTTCTCATTCCTACAATGTAACCATATGCCAAAGACTGAACTTGGCCTTCTTCCCTTCTTATCTGGCAATCTCATCCACATCCCCTGCCTCAGCTGTTATCCCTGAGAAGACAACATTCCTGGCTCTGACCTCTCCAACTTGCAGACTGCTCTTTCCATCTTTGTGGCCCACCTGACCCTCAAGCTCAGCATGCCTAAAACCGAATTAATCCTTCCTATGTCTCATTCCTACTCTTTACTTTGCTACGTTTTAATCAACTGAGCCACTGTTCTCCCAGTCTCCAAGCCCATCACCTCAGACATCTGATGTTTTACTTTCCTTCCAACCACTCCAGTCCCAGTCTTACTATTCTTACTGCCCCTAACCTGTGACTTAGGCTAACAGGCTCCTATTGTGTTTCCATGCCTTTCCTCTTTTCCACCTCTTGTCTATGCACCAAAGCTAGATTAGTGTTTCTGGCACACAGGCATCATGAGTTATTCTACTGCACTCCCATGCCTAACAAAGTCCACCGTCCTCATATCTTGGTTTTCAAGATCCTCCTATATCTGGTTCCAAACTACCTTTCTAATGTTATTTCTCAACACTCCTCCAGCATGCCACATGCTTCATTCATACCTGACATATCTGCCACCTCACAAACACATTCCATGTTTTTCCACCTTGATGCCTTTGCTGAACCTGTTTTTTATGCCTGGAATGTCCTCCCATCAACCATTCCTCATCTTTATTTACTGATACCCTATAAGTCTTTTAAAGCTTAATGCCCCATACTCCATGAAGCCTTCCCTAATCTCTCACATGGGAAGTTCCTAAGCTGAGTTCATAGACCATTCATGGACTTACACTAAAACTACATGTAACAGAGGCTTATCTTGCCTACCTGAATGTAAGGGCAGAAACCCTCTCTTCTGTGTGTTTAAACTTCTCAGATGCCCTCGTAGAGTACACTAAATGTTTGTGAAATGAATGAACTTGTGCTCTCTAGTCCTTTCCTATGTGAAAGAGTACTCTGTACTGAGTACACCATACTCAGCTCAATCATGGAGGAAGCATTTAATAAATGATTGAATGAATAAAACCAGCCCCTCATGAGAGGTAGATGGTTCAGAATTCATTCCCATGTTCATTGTACCCCAACTCCCAAATTCCTTCCCTGTCCCTCCTCTGTAGACCCCCCCAGCCCCAGACCTAATACAAGAGAGTGAGATTGGTGGGAAGACACAACTTCATTTACACCATGGTTTCTTTTTTTTCTCCTTTTTTTGGGTTCATTTTAGTAAAAACATCATATAAAAGGCATTGCAGCCCCTTTTCCCCTCCTGAGGGGTGATCCGTCAGGTCTGATTGGGTTGAGGGATGCTCCAGTGGGTCACAGCTCATCGTGAGATATGTGCAGGGCATGGTCACACAAATCTGCAGGCACAACACACAACAAAATTTTGCAGACAAATATTACCATCCTGCTGATATACTCCACTGAATACATATATGTGTATATGTATGTGTACACACACGCACATATGCATAAAAATAGAAATAAAATCAGAACCGTTACTAGCATCATCCTGGCATACACACCCTCAAACATTCTTTGGAGTATGTGCTCATATATTAAAACTTCCCAAAACCTCTTCCCACTTCCACTCTCCATCTCTTTATCCTACATGGAGACATGCCACTGAGACTTGGGGGAAGCAAATAAGAGCTAGTAGTTGAGGGGTGAAGGGTAGAGAGGCAATTCTGAAGTCCAGGTCTCCAAGGAAGGAAGGAAAAAATGCAGGCTGTAGTCAAGCATATGGAGAGATGAAGATACGGAAAGCTTACCTGTACGTTTGCTACAGAGCCGGTCTTTGACGTTGTCAGTCTCTCGGGAAAAAAACTCAATGAGCTCATCCTCATGTTCTTCTACGATGCTCTCACACTGTAAGCCCAAAGGACAAGTCAAAGTGAGGGGTGCTGGCATGGAGGCCTTTGCTCCAACCTCCCCAAGAGAAACTAAGGCAACACTCTAACTCTGCCCTTGGGCCCTCTGGCAATCTCAGAACACTTGAAACCCCACTCTCCCAATGGCTTCTCAGCCCTCACCGCAAATTTGAGGCTGGCTCTGATGTCTCCGTCAATTCGAATGCTTTCCATGTCTGGCTCATTAGCTCTCTTGTCCCGGCTCACTACCCGTATGTAATTCTTTCGATGAGTGGTAGGGTCGGCCTGTTCCCCATATTCCTTCATTTGCTCACAAACCCGTTCCAGCAGTTCTGTCAAGTGAGCTTCTGAGCGGGCATAGGGTACCTAGGAGGGCAACACACAAAAATCTTCAGCCTGGCTCAATCCCTCTGGGCATTCCCAGAGGTCATTTCCCCAAATTCACATCCTTCCTTTCCTTCTGAATGTAATTTGAAACTAACGTTCTCCAAAAAGCCTTCCCTCATTAACTATTGTGTTACCTATATGCCACAAGTACTGATGGACCAAGTTTACACAATATTCATTTTTGTTTATTGCTTTAACAAATGGAGATAATTCAGCAAACACTTATTACTCTCCTAGAGTGTTTATAACATACTGTTCTGCTCACAGTGGATACTGATTATCTATTGGCAGCAAAGACAACAGGGTGCTCAAGGTGCCCAACCCGGCCATTAGGGATCAACCCTTACCCATTTTCTCTCGTTAGGTATAGCCCAATCTTTCCTATTACTCTCTGAGTCTGTATCTCATTACTCCTAATGAGATCAAAGCCCATCCTGCCAGGCTAGACACCCAGGCCCTGCCCAGAGCCGATGGGGCTATTTAATTTTAGAGAAAGTATGAATTACCTCCACAAATGATTGGCTGCCATCAGGGTTGATACGAAAGGAACCCATCTGGATGGTCTTCTTGGGGTCTACTTGGGCAATTTCCCACTCCAGTTCATCCACAAGAGCCCTGCAGGCTAGAGGAATGGGAGCAGAGAAGCATAAAGGATTAGCAGCCTTAGAGATCATTTAAATCAGGGATTTTTAACCTAGGCTTCACAGACTCCCAAAGGGTCCATGGACAGATTTCAGGAAGTCCCTCAACTTGGATGGGAAAAATATTTTGATAACTGTATTTTGATACGATTGGTTTCCTGTGTAATTCTATGTATTAAAAAAATACAATTAACTATATGAACACAACTATAAAATTCTTTTCTTACAAATGAAGTCAGATCTAAACAACTGGAAAAATATTAATTGCTCATGGGTAGGCCAAACCAATATAATAAATGACAATTCTACCTAAATTAATCTATTTATTCAGTGCCACACCAATAAAACTATCAAAAAATTGTTTTATAGAGCTAAAAATGACAAAATTCATCTAGAAGAACAAAAGCTCAAAGATGCCAAGGGAATCAATGAAAAAAAAATGTGAAAGAAGGTGGTTTAGTCATACCAGATCTCAAACTGTATTATAAATTGGTAATTATCAAAACAATCTGGTACTGGCTAAGAAATAGAGTGGTTTACCTGCCAGATTTAGGGATAAGGAAAGAATTTAGGACCAAAGAAGATACAGAAAGCATTACAGAATGTAAAACAAATCATTTTGATTACATAAAATTAAAAAGGTTTTGCACAAACAAAACCAAGGCAACCAAAATTATAAGGAAAGCAGAAAACTGGGGGAAAATATTAGTAACAAATACCTCTGATAAAGGCCTCATTTCTCAAATATATAGAGAACTGAGTCAAATTTATAAAATTAATTCTTCAGCTGATAAATGGTCAAAGGATATGAAAAGGCAGTTTTCAGACAAAGAAATCAAAGCTATCTATAGTCATATGAAAAATATGACTATTGATCAGGGAAATGCTCTGAGGTACTACCACCTCAAACCTATCAGAGTGGCTAATATGACAAAAAGAGGAAAATGGACGTTGGAGGGGATGTGGGAAAACTGGGACACTAATGCACTGTTGGAGTTGTGAACTGATCCAACCATTCTGGAGAGCAATTTGGAACTATGTCCAAAGGGCTATAAAACTGCATACCCTTTGATCCAGCAATATCACAGCTAGATCTACATGGCAAAGACATCCACAAAAAGGGAAAAGGAAATATTTATTTCTACAAAAATATTTATAGCAGCTCTTTTTGTGGTGGCTAAGAATTAGAAATCAAAGGAATGCCCATAAATTGGGGAATGGCTAAACAGGCTGTGGTATATGATTGTAATGGAATATTATTGACAAGCAGGATGATTTCAGAAAAACCTAGAAAAATACTTACATGAACTGATGTATAGTTTAGTGAACAGAACCTGGAGAACTTTGTACACAGTAACAGCAATACTGTACAATGTACAATGAAGAACTGTGATGACTTAACTATTCTCAGCAATACCCAGACAATCCCAAAGTTCTAATGATGAAGCTGATATTGACTGAATACAGACTGAAGTGTGCTATTTTTCCCTTTCTTCCATTTTTTTCTTTTATTCGAGTCTTCTTGTACAAAATGATTAACATAGAAATGTTTTACATAGTTGCACATGTTTAACCTATATCTGACCGCTTACCGTCTCAGAGAGGGAAGGAAAGAAGGGATAGAATTTGGAACTCAAAACTTTAAATAAAAACGTTAAAAATTAAAAAATAAGAAAAAACTATGATTCTGGGGGAGGGGGTCCACAGGCTTCCCCAGACTGCCAGAGGCGTCCGGGACCCCCCCCAAAAGGGCAGCCTGGACAGGACAGAAGCCCGGGCCCCCGACTCAGGTCACCCCCCCACCCCGCAGCCTGGGCCTTTACCTCCACAGTGCAAGTCCTGGCTCCTCCGCGCCCACGCGCTGCCCAGCAGGGCGGCCAGGAGCAGGGCCAGCCCCCCGCAGCCAGCCATGGTTCGCGCGGCGCCGCGGCAGCTCCGCGCGCCTGCGGGGAGAGCGGCCGGGGATGAGCGGTGGCCTAGCCCCGCTGCCTGCCCCCCCCCGCGCCCCGCGCCCGGCCGGCCCGCTCCCACCTCTGCCCCCAGGCCCCGAGGCTCCAGGGCAGCAGCCAGTCTGGCCACCTCACGTCAGCCCCTACCCCTACCCAGGCGCCGAGCGCGGCAGATCGGGCTGTTCCGGAGCTCTTCGGCGCCGCCCGACTCCGCGCCCGCAGCCTCGCGGCCCGTCCGCCCGCCCAGCGAGGCCCAGCCTCCCGGAGCAAAGGGACACCGCAACTCCGCGGCTCGCAGCCCAAGCTCGTCGGGTCCAGCGGCGGCAGCTGCTAGGACCCCAGCGCCTGGTGGCAGGACCTGCGTGGCAAAGGGAAGGAGGCGTGGCCCGAGGGGCGGGCGGGAAGGGCGAGGCCGAAGCCGAAGAAGCCGGGCCCAGCAGGTGAAGGGAAGGTCCTATGTGCAGCGGGAGCGCAGAACTACAGTTCCCGAGAAGCTTTGCACCAAAGGGGAGCTCCCGCCATCCGGCACTGTGCTTCCTGTACACCCTCCGGCATTAAGGAACACGGCAGAGCCCACTGGGCTGGGGGGCTAGACCAGGTGCTGGCTCCGCCCAGCTCTCTAATCCATATTCCATCTGCCCCGGGAATCCCCACCTCCACTCCCAAATTTTAAGTGGTACTGAGAATCCAATGTAAAGAGGAAAAGACGGCAAGAATAAAGAATTTGCCGCGTTGCCCTACAAAGATGGGCCACTTACATTCCACCACTGAGATTTTTGCTTTTATTTTATAAAACATTCCATTGCAGACAAAGCTTAGGAAGCAGGTGTAGCAGAAATAACCCTGCTGAGCTTTGTAGCCAAACGGTCAAAGGCCTGGGACACAAGGCCCTTTGGCAAAGCCCTTGTGTTTTTTTTGCTCTAGCCCCTGAAGCTGTACCTTCCTCCATACCGTCATCACTTAAGTTCAGAGCTATTGACCTGTCTTGTCATTGCCTGGCACTACTGTCCCTAGCCAGCTAGGGACTGAGTGTTCTGTGTTAACTAATGGTACTGCTTCTTCCCTTCTGGGCCAGTTTCCAGGTTTTGCACTCTGTGCTGCCACAAGGGTAGAAGGGAGCTCAGCTCCTGCATATTTTGTAACATCCTAGCTGCACCGAGGAAATTCCAACAGTTCTAATGATAGCACCATCAGCAGAGTCCCTATAGGTCTGAGTTGGGGCCTGGGGCCTAGGCCCTGTCCCCAGGGCAGTGCTGGACAGGGAGATGCAGAGGACCAGCAACTGGAGAAACCACCTCTCCCTGATGCTGCTTCTGTTGTGTAGCCACAGAGCACTCAAGGAAGGGGAATGGAAGGATGTGGCTGGAAAAGAGCAGTCAGAGCGCCAGCACAGTGGAGAAGACAGCTGAATCTGTTAAACACAAAAATGAGAACATTAACCTTCAAGTGAATGAAGAGGTAGCGCTTAGAATTCTTAATGCAAAGAAAATAAGAAGGAACAAAAGGTATGATTTGGGCCAGGACAAGAAGGGGAAAACAGGGCTTGAAGGGGAATAAACTTCTTTCTAAGGTAGTTGTGCATCCATTCACAGGCATGCACACAGACACAATACACACACCCCAAAACAAAGCCAGCATTTCCCCTATCCCAGCTCTTACTCTTGGGGCTTGCTTGGCCATCAGGCTCAGGAACCTTCCAATCCATTTTTCGGCCCTTCTCGTAAAGCCCCTTGAGCACTTTGTGGAAAGACTCTGGTTCACTGCCATTTTTGCTTAACTCCAGATACTTTCGGTAAAGTTGCAGAGCTGTTCGGGCATCCTCAATGCTATCATGGGTCTCCCCTTGGATCTTGAGATCTGAGGAAAGTAAAGTGGTTTGAGGGCATAGTAGAAGGGAGAAAAATTACCACTATCTACCCCTCCTTTTTCCTGATGCTTCCTTAGGGAAGGAGCAAATTAACTCCCCTACAGCAGAGATGGAGTAGTTCCTGGGCTTCTTCATCATCATTACATGAAGTAGAAGAAAAAGCATGAAGTCGGAGGACTAGCACTGCTATTTACTGCCTGTGACCAGGCAAATCATTTAGTTTTTCTACACCTGTTTCTTTATCTGTAAAGTGAGAACTTGATTTTTTAAACGTGCTTTTCAGCTTTCAGTCCTCTGCTCCTATTATATGCTACAATTATACTTTACTACCACTAACCAAGTCCTCCTCTTTCCTTTTTCTCCCCCACCTCCATTCATTTTCCTCCAACAATTTCACCTTGAGGAACCGTGAAACATGGCAACTCACCTAAGAAATACCAAGCAAGGAAGCGCAAGGAGATCATTCGTTTTCGGGGCATGTGGAAGAGGTAGACAGTATCAATGACCTGGTCTTTGGGCACCTAGAAAAGATTAAAGTGGGAAGTTAAAAGCTGAGACACTCAGTTCCCATCTTCAGTACCACAAGGAGAACCCAAACTCCAGAAACATACCTCATTCTCTCCCCCTGCCTCTACCCCCTTCTCTCCCAAATACTCAGGGAAAGTATAGTCCGAACCATGAGATTGATGACCCGGAAGTCCTTCTGCAGTCCATGACCCACAAACTTGACACCAATATCTATAAGGAAGCGAAGTTTCAAATAGGTAGACTTAAGAGTGGTAAGGTGCTTGGAGGAAATCTTAGCATCAAGGTCTCCAGGCTTTATCCCTGAGTACTGGGTCAAGTAATCCACCACCTATGAGAGCAAAGAATGGAAAAAGTCATCCGGGAGAGGGAGCCCCCATGAGGTTTTAAGATCATCAGCACAAATTCTTCCTCTGTCCAAGCTCTCAAGTATCCTGGTACCTGTTCCTGTGTAGAGATGTAGTCATCTATGAAGGGGATACCTTCATTTGGCCCTTGACCCCGAACACAGGTGATTCTAGCCACTGACATCTGGCTTGGTTTGATGGTGGACTTGGTGCCGTCACTACGCAGCTCTGCCTCCTCCTATGGGAGTAGGGTAGAGATGGTTCTTATACACTTATCTATCCCTCCTGGGTTCCTCAGGGTTCTGCTCAAGTCCCCACAGATGTCTGGGCCCAATTACCTCATTAAGGGTGACAAATTCAGCATCCAGGCCCACCAGGTCCCCGGCCTGTGGCATCTCACTCAGCATCAGTGGGATGAAGGTAGCATGGGTCTTGCGCTGCTTCCGGGCCAGTGAGGCCTCGGCCAGCAGCACGCTTGCTTCAATAGGGTTCTTGACTGGAGGGCAGAGGGGCAGACAGCCAGGGCAAGGATGGGGAGTGGTGAGGGGAAGGAGGCTCAGGGTGACTGGGGACTCTGAGTCTGCATCGTGGCCCCTCAGTAATCAAAGCACATAAGTAGAGGGAATGAAGCCTGGTGGACAGGCTGATGGAGAGGTCAAGCCAGGGAGTTATCAGGAAATACACAAAGTAGAGGCTGAAGAAGGGGCTGAGGGATGAAATAAGAATTTCAAAGTCAGGGTCCTAGTTCAGTTAGCTCAGGGCCAAAAAGAGAGAAGAAGAAAGGGTATGAGGGTGTTCACAGCTTGTGGACAGATAGGAAATCAAATACTGAGACTATTCAAAGGAAGTTGAGATGGTGGGAAAGCAATGGGGCCAGGCAAAAGGAGCAGAACAGCTGGATGACTGGTGAAAAGGGAAAATCTCTTGGCTGACTGTGGGGTAAGGACATCTGGTAACAATTTAGGCCCAAATCTGTGGATCTACTTACAAAGTAAAATCTCTGCCCTGGCATCTTTAACCTTAGTTAAACTGATAAGCAGGAATTTCTACAGTGTCACCTAACATTAACACTAATCCAAAAACCATTAAGAAATTTCCTTGATCTCTTGCTGCCAGAGGGCCCAGTTTGAACTACCCATATCATGTGCCCACCCTGTACCACTCACTGCTCAGGTTGTATTTGTTGTTGAGGTTCCTCTTGACATAATATAAGATGGCGGGCACCTTCCAGCTCATGTCAAATTGCACAGCTTCACACTGTGAAATGGAAGAATCATTTACTGCCTCTGGCCCAACCCTGTTTTTTTCTCAATGCAAAGCATAATTTTCAGTTTGGCTAAATCTTTGTTGTACAACTAGGAATCCATCCCTCCCTCCTAGGTGTGGCTGGGGCTTTTCTAAGTGCCTTGAGATGGATATAGGGTTGGAGAAAGATGAGAAGACTAACCTTATCCACAGGTTCAATAAGGAAGTCATTGAAGAGGTACCACTGCTGGTGAGTAACACCCTTTAAAGGACAAAGGCACAGCACATGTCTGAGCACAGTGGGTCCACCCTGGCATGAGGAAAGCTCCACTATGGCCACCACCTTAAAAACCTCCTTCCAATGCCATACAACTCACCTCTTTGCGCTGGTGGTAGGTCTCCCCAACTTTGATGTGACCTACCAGGCTGCCCCCTGTTCGTGAATCCAGAATGTGGACCACAGTAGCCATAAGGTCGTACACATAGACATTACCTTCCTCTTCCCTGAGTGGGCTCTGCTGTGAAGAGAATACCTAAGTTGTTAAGCTAGGTATAAAAGTGGGAATGGAAGGAGAGTTAAGGACAAATTACATGGTGCAGGAGCTAAGAGAGGTCTCCAAGATGTTGAAGTGGCTCCTTTCCTTTGAGAATCCCTCCTCCTCCCACCCAGTCCTTCCAGCATAAGCACCTCATCCCCATCAGTCCAGTTGCTGACATCCAATCCCTTGTTCTTTGTCAGCTTCATTTGAATGGAGTATGGAAGCCAGACATTCTTTAGCTCCTCAATGGAAGTACACAAAGGCCGCCCTTTTGGACTTCCTAGGTCCTTCCTGCCAGACAAGCAGTCATGGAAATGGAGTTAGAAATTCTTCCTGAGATAATAGCAGTTATTAATATTTAGCATTCCAGTCACCAACATGTGGTAGGCCAGTACATACCAATCAGCCAGAGCACTCTCTCTGCTTTTAGGGATCTCCCCACCTGCTTTCTTTACTGCCATCTTGAAGGCAAACTAGACAGAAAAGAGAAGATCAGATTCTGCAAAAAGGCCTAGGGATAGGTCCCATATTAGGAAGAAACCAGAAAGTTCCCTGGCATCCCTGACTCCTAGCCCAGCTCCAGACCTCACCTCTGCCTGCAGCTTCCAGAAATCAGCTTCTTTAGAGCTGTTGACCTCACAGTTGATAACTAGAACGTCTGGGAGACGACGAATGTTGCGGGTCTGGACCTAGGGAAGGAAACTGGGAGTTGAGGCAATCTAAAAGGTAGAAAGTTTGGGCGGGGATAAAAAAATCAGGGTCTGTACCCTTGGACTAGATTAATTTCCCCTGCCCTGAAACCTGAGGACAGTAGCTTATAGGTGCACTCCTGCTTGGTCTTAGAGTAGACTCAGAGTGGACTGAATCACCAATGTAGGTGAAGGGGAGGATGTAATCCAA